TATCCTACCTTGCTGGGTCTCAGAATTTTTTTTTTTTTTTTTTTTTTTTTTTTTTTTAAGATAATGACACCAACACAGAGGTAAGAATGTGTGAAAATCCATTTCCAGGACAAAGAAAGACACCAGAAGAAATCAACCCCACTGCCACCTTCACCTCAAAGCTCTCACCTCAGGAACTGGGAGGAAACACATGTAATTCTTCAAGCCCTTCACCCACGGTGCTTTGTTATAGCGTCCTTAAAACACTAACACACCTATCTATGGAGTGTGCAATCTTAACTATTGCAGTTTTCACTTCTAGAAATTGTGGATTTCATAGCTCCCAGTTCACTGTCCAAATTCTTAGTGGTTTTTAGAAAATCTCTTTAAAGATACTAAGTTGTTTATTTCTTCATTCATTTTATTCTTTTTTTTGACATTGATTTATGGGGGGGGGCAGATGCATGTTACAGATGCACGCGTGCACGTGCGTGCGTGTGCGTACGTGCGTGTGCATGTGTGTGTAGGCAAGCTATAGGAGTAGGTTCTCTTCTACCATGTAGGTCCAGGGATCAAACTCAGATGGTCAGGCTTGTGTGGGCAAGTGCCTTTACCCCTATCTGTTTGAGACGAGGGTCTCCTAAACTGTAATCCTCCAGTCTCAGCCTCTGGAGAAGCTGGGGCAACAGAAATGTGTCACCACACACAGGGTATCTGATCAATTAACTCAATCTGTGAGTTACTCAGTTTCTTCTCATTTTCTCTCCTCACACCCTGGGTACTTGTGGACTGCTCTCTGGGATGATGTCACTTCCTGCCGAGGACCTCAGTGTCTGCTTCTGCTAAGGCAGCAGTCACAGCCCAACCCATCCACACTGGGGGAAAAAGAGTCAGAGTTCATTTATCTCCATTTTTTGTATTTGCTTTAAGCTTGGTAATATTTAGGATTCGCATCCCAAAGAGTGGGGAATACATACACTCAGGACGGCACATGGAGGGCCTCAGCTTTAGTTTTGGCCCTTGGAGCCTTTCTCTAATGCTGAGTAACTTTCTAACTCTTCGCTGCAGGTCCTTGGGGAAGGCACCTAAGAACCCTCACTTCTCTGCATTTCTGTTCTTTTGTTTGCATCTCCACTTCCTTATTCTTCTTTATTAGCTCTTTAGTTAAACTGAAGCACACTGGGCATAATGACTCACATCTATAAATCTAGCCCAGATTAATAGTGATTTCTAGGGTAACCTGAGCTACAATATAACACCTCAGCTCAAAAAACAAGCAAACAACAACAAATAAGGAGAATGGCAGATGTGTGTTCCTTTTTCAAACCCAAAAGCCAAACACGACATCCACAATAAGCAAACAACAGATAACGTGGTTTCTGGAGTGATCCCTTTAAAGAGCTGGAGGTTTTCCCTGGGTACCTGAGTACAGGCACTGACAAACTGGAGAACATCACGATCTTGGATCAGTAGATAAAATTGGAAACTTAAGATAATTCAAATGTGACTTCTCATGGCTCTAAGGACCATGATTAGCTTACTCCAGTGCTTTCTTTTCCCAGCTGCAGCCTTGATCCTGTGGTGACTAAAGATCAGCCATGACCACGGGACGGGGAGAAGAGGCTCACAACACCTGAGGAAATCCCTCAAGTTGGGTTTGGTGGTACACGCTTGTAATCCCTGTACTTAGGCAGCTAAAGCAGGGCAATCACAGACAGAGTACAGCCTGGGCCACACAATCAACTCAAAACAGTGCGAACCGTGTAGCAACTCTGCCCATTCATTAGCTATTAAGCTATCTGAATAGAGGCATCACAGGCTGCATACAAGTCAGGCTATAAACATTACAGAGTTCAATCAACCAAAAGGTCAATTAATCAGCCCACCACACCTATGTATGCATCCCAGTGAACTTCTGGGTAGCAAGGCTCAGGTTATGGTTGGCAGTTCTCCACATGCCTTATCATATCTTGGTGCCAGGAAACCAAGTGCTCTGCTTTCACAGGAGAGAACTACTGACTATGTTCCCTGTCTCGTGCTTCCTGACTCGGACGGTGCATTCCTTCTCCTAGCTGACTTGAATCTGTATCTTTTTCCTAAAACAAACCCCAAACATGGATATAACAGCTTTTATTGAGTTCTGTGTCCCTTCAGTGAATTGTCAAAACTGAGCGAGATTTGGGGAGCCACTCAAACTTCCAACTGGCAGGCCTTCCTTCTGAATTGGGAGAGGCTTAGGTAAAGTTCATTGTTCAGCCCTAGATCCTTGTATCAACAATGACATTTCTGAATTAACATTTGCTAGAAAAGCGTAAGATATGAAAAATAGGACAGACACACATAAAAATCAGGAGACTTCCATCCAAAAAACCAGAAAAGGTAAGCATAAACAGATGAGAGGAAATCACCAAAGAAATGAATAGAAAAAAGCCACTCCCAAGCTGAATATGGTAGCACTTGTGAGGCAGAGGAATGTTGACTTTTATGAGTTCAAGGCCAGCCTCGTCTACATATGGAGTTCCAGGACAGCCAAGGCTACATAGAGAGACCTTGTCTCAAAACAACAACAACAACAACAACAACAAAAGCAAACAAAAAAACAAAAATCCAGTGAGAGGTCTGGGAATATAGCTCAGAAGTAAAGCATTTACTTAGCATGTGCAAGGCCCTGAGTTTGATCCCAAACACCACCAAAATAGAGAAGGCTGGGTAATGACAGAAATAACAAACCCAAGTTATCAAGATGGGAGGACCAGTAAAGGGGACACAATGAAGGACTCTGGGAGAAGAGCACAAACCCATCATTTCAGCTAAGGGAGGGAAGAGCAAGGAGAAAATAGGAAAGTGTCACAGAGGTCATCTTGGAGTGAAGTCTGTAAGGAAACAGGAGTAAGAAGAGAAGTAACAGAGCCTGGGGATGAGTTACCACGTCATTTGCATCTTCTCAGCCACAGAGTCCCTACTGTCTAGCATGTGCAGGACACTGCGGGAATCTAATTCCATAAGGAAACCAAGTCGGGGTTCAGAGAATGACTTCAGTCACATGGAATCCTAAGTTTCCTGTTGTCTACTCCCTGTCCCAAGCCCCACTGGCCCCAACGCCTCCTTTCATGTCCTGGCCAGCGCAAAACTCAGAACCTGGCTTGCTCCCTCTTTTAGACCTCTTATCAGTTTAATGACAGCAATTCTCCATGGGTAGCTTTCTTTGAAATTATGAGACGTGTGATTTACAGTGCAGCTTTTGTTCTAAACCAAAATGAAGAGTCAGCAGCTAATGATAGTCATAAACAGTTGAGTAAACTAGTAAGTCTTAATCGCTGAAGTTTACCTCCAACTCAGGCAGCAAGGGCATGGGAATCCTGTCTGCAGGCACCATGGTCAACCAGGCAGATGTGAACTGACCACACCAGGGTGCAGTGTCGGGCTCTGAAGCTGTTCTACAGCAGACCCCTGACACAGGACACTGAGCTCTCTACTGGGTTCCAGTTCTTTCAGAGATTCGCCTTTGATTTCCTCCCGCCACACCAGGTTCCTGCTCAAAATTTAATAGGTAGCCCTTAAAATGCAGAAATGTTAGGATTTCTGGTCTCCTCACCTCATAATACTTTTTCAAGGAGCCCACCAAGCAGAGCTTCAGGCTGTCCACAATTTCCTGATGTGGCATCTGGAACACCACCCTCGAATACCATTTGGTGAGTGTGCTAGGCAGGTGCGGGGGTGGGGGAGGGAGAGACAGAGAAGACAGTGAGCAGCCTCTCCCACAGGAGAGCCTGTGGTCTGCTGTGCACACACAAGGTTCCTTTTGAACCAACTCAACACATATCTACCTGCCAAATGCATTTGCGGGGTCAGTACACGCCTGACTGAGTTCCGTGCCCACACCCATGTGGAAGTAGAAGAATAACTGACTCCACCACAGGGGTGGCTCTGTGGTCCAAACATGTGCCACAGCTCCAATACCCCCCCACACTAGTTAATACTAATTATTATTATTAAATAGCATAGGGAGATACATGTAAGCAATATTCAGAATTTTTTATAAAACTTTCAAAATGTGTATGGGTATTTCCTACAAAGCTGCTTCCAGTAGAAAGGGTGACAACTTGATAACCACAGGCACAGGATTATTAAAATAGTCAATTCAGTGCAGAGCAGAGCTCAAGAGAGTTCCTCATATTGATGGGGGAAATATCCAGTACATATTGGATATAAATATGTAAATAAACTGACAAGCTGAGGGGGTGTGGCTCAGTGGCAGAGCACTTGTCTAGCATGTGTAGAGCCTTGGGTTCCATACCTAGCACTACACACAGATTGAAACTGATGAAGAGTGTGCACGGTAACATCCCATTCCTATAAATAAACACACATATGTGTATTGGCTCACATGTACAGTTACCCTCAGTGTAATATTTTAGAAAAGTACATCATCTAGTGATGGGACCTCCTCAATCTGTGTAAGCTTGCTCTCTGATGTTCATTCCATAAAACTGTATGCTTCACGAACGTGCATGAGAGAACATGAAGGTCCATCTGCATCAAACCTTTGGTGACAGTTAATGAAGGATGAACTTTAGGAACTTTTGCTTTCTAAATTTCCACAGATATGTGCAATGAGAATACCTTATTTTCATAATTATAACAAATAATAAAACCACTTCAGGGGCTGGACAGATGGCTTAGCGTTTAAGAGCACTGGCTGCTCTTCCACAGGTCCTGAGTTCAGTTCCCAGTACCCAGATGTGCACAACCATCTCCAGTGGGATCTGATTCCCTCTTCTGCTGTCCATGAAGACAAGTCACTCACATACATTAAATAAATAAATTAAAAAAAAAAAAAACTTCACTGGGGGCCGAGGAGAGGGCTCAGTTGGTAAAGGGCTTGCTGCCCAAGCAGGAGGACCTGGTCTGAGCCCCAATACTCCTGTAAAAACTGGGCTCAGTGGTGTGTACTAGTAATCTCAGAGGTAGGAGGCAAAGAGTGGGCCAGCCAATTCAGCAGAATTGGCAAGCTCCAAGTTCAGTGAGAGAGAGATCCTGTTCCCCAAAATGGGGTGGTGGGAATCTTTAGATGGCTCAGCAGCTAAGAGCACTGGCTGCTCTTCTGGAGGAACTGGTTTTGATTCCCAATACACACATGGCAGCTCACAGCTCTAACTCCAGTTCCAGGGGACAAATGCCCTCTTCTGACCTCCTAAGCCTGGTGTGGTGGCCATGTCTTTAATCCCATTACTTGGAGGCAGAGACAGGCAAATCTCTGTGAGTTTGAGGCCAGCCTGGTCTATAAAGTGAATTCCAGGACAGCCAGGACTACTAAGAGAGACCCTGTCTTTAAAAAAA